GGGTGGGTGGGAGGGAGGGATGGATGGAGGGAGAGCGATAAATCCTTCCAAAAGTTAATTGCAAGGTTTTTGAAAACACCCACCTCTTCCCCAAAACCTCTGGTCGATATATTTTAAAAACAGGAAGTATTTTTTTTTAAGAGAAGGAAGAGTGAATGAAACAGTCTGGAAGGGGGAAGGGAGAGAGGGAGAGAGAGAGAGAGGGAAAGGGAAAGAGAGAAAGCGTGCAATGGAGATCATCTGGAGCGGGCCTGCGATAATCACTGTTATTCCTCCATCAACCAGCCGTTTTTTCCTTTGCAATCTCCACAAGCCAGGCTTTCATTTTTCTCCTCCCTTCCCACCCCCCACCCCCGTCAGATTCATGCAAGCTTTATAGAAATTGCTTATGAAAAGGTTTGCTGTTTGAACGCTCTCTGGATGGTGCCTTTGGAATGCTGCGTTTGATTTTGGATTTCTTTTCGCCAAGAAATGTATTCCATATGTGTTTTTTTTTTTCCTCCTAAAACAAATTCAGGTTATGCACATCGGTCGAAACACTCCGTGCAGATAAAGTTGGGAATTATTATTATTATTTATTTTTAAATGAGGTTTTGTTGTTGTTGGTTTTTTTTCTTTCCTGCTGATGATACCTGTGCAGGTATGCTTGTCAGTAAGATACACATAACATACTTTGGAAAGAAATCCCGAATAGAAAACAAGATAGGGCAAATCCCCCTTTTTTTCCAGTTTTACCTAGTTTGTGAGACAAGAGTTAACTTTTTAACTAGGAGTTCCTTGAGTCATATTAGGGGGGGGGGGCAACGAACTACCCCTCTTACCTAATTCCTAGAAGAAAAGTTCTTACCTGAATGGGTTATTTTTTTTTATTGAAAGTTTTATAAAATTTTACAATATAAATCCCCCCTCCCCCCAAACCCAACCCTCCATCCCTCCCCCCCCCTCACTTCCCAGAGCCAATCACAGGATTAACAATAAAATAATCATAATCTAACTAACATTAATCAACTATTAATCTAACAAATCTATAACTTCCTTTAACTCTCTTTTATTGGGACAATCTTGCAAACTAACCTCATTACACACTGTATGTCCATATAGGAAACACAGGCTTAACTTTGACTTCTTTTTATTTTATGGAATTTCAAGATGAATTCTACGGATAGCCTAGCCAGAAGGTCAAAATGAAAGTGCTTCCTTCCGTCTGTATTAAATCCCAGCCTGCTTAATAACCGAGATTCATTAGGGAGAGGAGAGGGGGGAAAAAAGAGCAACTGACTCAACCAAATTCTTTGGCAATACTTTCCAAAGGTGTAAGAGATGACAGCTGAGGTGTTATGAATGACCAAATTCCAGGTCAGAGCAGCCTCTTAATGCCCATATGGTGCCACCAATTTATTATCTATTTTTAAATGTCTTGTTTCGTTCCTTGGGATGGAGAGAAATTGCCTTCAGTCGTTTCTGAAAAGTTTGAAAATAGAAGCACAGCAGATGGAGGAATAACGTAATATATTGCTTGTACTATGATTTCCCTCCTTGTTTATTATTGCTGTAAAACAGAAGCTAACAATGCAGCAGAAGCCTACCCAATTTCTTTCCTTCCTTCCTTCCTTCCTTCCTTCCTTCCTTCCTTCCTTCCTTCCTTCCTTCCTTCCTTCCTTCTTTCTCTGCTTGCTTGCTCTTTCCTAACCTTTAATCTTTGTCATTGCCTTTTCTTCTTTCCTTTCTTCTTTTTCTGCTTTCCCACTTCCTTTTTCTCTTTGCCTCTTTGCCTCTATCCCTCTTTTCCCCTTCCCTTCTCTTCTCTTCCTTCTCTTTCTCCTTCCTTCCTTCCTTTCTCTTCCTTTATCACTTTCTCCTCCATCCCCCCTTCCTTGATTTAATCTATGTGTTATGTAATAAAAAGGAAAGTGCTCTTTATAGATATTTATCCATAAACATAAGCAGAGAATTTACTCCCTGACACTGGGTTTGTGTGTGTGGTGCTTGTTAAAAGCCACAACTGCTAAAGGTTTGTAGGTCCTTCCATGTGCATGTATTCAGTTATTTCTAATATAGGTAGGTGTTTCTGTGTGCAGGGGGGTATGTGTGGGAGTTGTGTTGAGCATGTTGGACTCTATAAAAAAATACTACATAGACTGGCTTTGCATTTCTGGTAGGCAAAAATGAGGCCCTACTATAGTTCAAAAATGCGAAGAGTAACTCTACTCTGAGTATTATGCAGACCCAGACTCCAAATTCACATAAGAAGTTTGATTTATTTTACATCTATGAGAATCCTGACAAAATATTCTGTCATCATAACAACTGATTCAGTTTTCCTTCCTTCCTTCCTTCCTTCCTTCCTTCCTTCCTTCCTTCCTTCCT